GCCTGTGGAGAATAAAAGGGCCCTAACGGAGCAAGACCTGGGTTCCAGGAGGCAGACAGAACTCAGGTACCCTGGGGGATGCGGGGCAACGCTCGGATGGGTCGAGGGGGAGGATTATCCAGGACCGGTTCCGGCCTCGACCGCACACCACCTCGGCGCTTCTGCTTCCGCAACAGATAGTTTGAATATTGCACCTCAGGCATAGCAAGCTTGAGGCAGGCCTCCGTGGAGGGGCCGGCACCGCCGCCAGGCAGGTCATAGCCCATGATGTCCACTTTGCGGCTAGGCTGCCAAGGCTGCAGCTGCTTGGTGCGAATCTGCGCAGCGGGTCGCAGCACCGTCACCAAAGCAACGGCGCAGTAGACGCTAGCGGGCCTCGCGCAACCAGATAATCCGCCGGGCGGTGATGGCGCATGTCTTTAATCCCAGCATTGGGGAGGCAGAGGCAGGCAGATCTCTGTGAGTTCGAGGCCAGCCTAGTCTACAAAGTGAGTTCCAGGAAAGGCACAAAGCTACACAGAGAAACCCTGTCTCGAAACCCCCCCCCGCCCCCCCAAAAAAAGGCAGAAAGAGAATGGAAAAGAACTATGCTTATCCCCCATTCTGTTGTTGTTTGTTGTCTTTTGTTCTGCTTCAGGCATCTTTGATGTCCCCACAGTGCATCCCAGCCTAAGTACCCTGGATCGCCATCTGCTGCCCATTCCCCAAAACTCCCTTTCTCAACCCTTGGCTTTGCATCCATTGCTGCTTTGAAAACTTTACATATAACCCACTGCGATGTACAAGTAGGAAGACAATGTCAGATTAGCTTCAGGTCACTTGGATGGTGAGAAGTCTTAGCCAACAAGAGCTGAGGCAAGACAGTACCTTTCCATTCCTGTGTACAGTCAAAGGATTGCCCTGACCATGAGCTCGAGGACCAGATTAATGGAGAAGCAGAGAAGCACATCACAGACAGAATATCAGGTTCTCAGCATCTGACCATTACTTTGTATGCAGGAGAAAAGCCCTGAACAGCCAGTCCTGCCAGGCGGTGGTAGTACACGCCTCTAATCCCAGCACTTGGGAGGCAGAGCCAGGCCAATCTTTGTGAGTTCGAGGCCAGCCTGGTCTACAGAGTGAGTTCCAGGACAGCCAGGATTGTTTCACAGAGAAACCCTGTCTCAAGAAAAAAAAAAAAAAAAAAAAAAAAAAGAAAAGAAAAGAAAAAAGAAAGAAAGAAAAGAAAAGAAAAAGAACCAGTCCTGACAGGAGCTACAGTTTGAGATGTAGAACACTCTTTCTGACTCCACAAGACACTTAACCTCACTGTGCTCATCAGTGTCAGCCCCCATGTTCTGTCCCCACTGCATGCAATTTCATTTCCACCACACTGAGCAGTATCCAAAACCATGTGTTCTAGGGTCCCCTGGATGAGAGGCCTGTCCCTGTGCCTTCATTTCTTAGTACCCAGAAGGAATTTACAGTGAGCAATCACAAAGTGTTGTCTCCAGTTTATAGAAATAACGCTCACCACTGTCCAAACAGGGATTGCTACCGAAGCAGACTGACCTGAGCTGCCTTACATTGACAAGTGTGCTCTTCAGCTCAGCACAACATTGGGAAAATTCCACTACCTTGATATAACCAGAGTGATCATAGACCTCTTTAGGAGCAGGGTACAGCTCCTTGGTCAGCTGGCTTAGGTTGGCAGTGTGGTACAGAAGGTCTTTCAGGGCATTGGTGGAAATTTCATTGTCATAAAGGTTGATGCTGGTCAGCAGAGAGCATTGGCTCAGGACAGGGACAAGGACCCTGAGGTCAAGGTCCTTCATCCTACAATCTTCTAAATTCCAGGGTCAGCAGAGTGTCTGCAACACCCAGTAAGAAAACTTTGAGAGGCATGAAATTCAAATCACTTAAATTGACACCTCTCAGGTACAGATGTTTAAGCTGACAGTGGCCCCACTGGGCAAAGGACTCCAAGTCCGACTGTGAGAAATTGCAGAAAGAGATGGACAGGGAATCCAACGGGGTCTTCAGGCACCTAAGCAACTGTTTCATGTGGTCATTGAGGAAATAGACATCATCTATGGTGGCATGCTTGAGACGGTTGAGTTTGGAGAACAGAGAAATGATCTTGCGGACATAATTCTCGTTCCTGTCAGTGGTACTGCCAGTTGCAGGAGCGAGGGTGTGGTCTTGGAAGACATGTACTAGCATGATTTTGTGAAGATTTCTCATCTTCCTGATGAAGGGTACAAAACTGGCCAGTGTGGAGAGATCTCCCACTATGTTCAGTGCCAACTCCTTGATGAACTCCCGCTGTAAAATTTGGAAGACCTTCTTGACAGTGTCGCCGCCTTTTTCTGTGCCAATCCTCAGCCTCACACAGCACAATTTCAGGGAACCCCTTATCTTCTCTGCCCATTTCAACAACTGCGTTTGGTATTTATCCGCAGATAGGTGAAGATCAGTGACAACCTGCAAACGCTGCCTCCTCAGTGTGCGCTGAGGAAGGCCCTCCACTAGTAGCTTCTCAGGCAAAGTTTCTGTTGAGCGGTTTCCACCATCTCTTCCAGTCCACACATCCCAGAAATCATCGAGCACATTCCTCAAAGTCAACCACTTGAAGCTTCTGCCCTCTGAGGGCAGACACTCTTTTCAGCCATGTGCCTACTCCATCCAACATAGCCTGGTAGATCTCCAAGTTGGGGTTCTTCATCAGCAACTCAACAGAAAGGCAAGGGTAGGGTCAGTCTGCCACCAGGGCCTTAATCATCTCTGTTTTTCTCTGAGTGTTGGCCTCCTTCAGCAGTGTGGGAAAGAACTCCATTGGCAGGTCCTGCAGAGTAGAGATGGCCAAGGTCTCATTGCTCACTAAGCTTTGCACTGCCATTTGCAGGAGTGTGGGTGGGGCCTGGAGGCTCATTCTGATGGATGTTAAGGGAGATGATCCTGGCCTGGATATGGGTGACAGGCTCCAGAACTCTGAGTGTCTTCTCTGACTCCAATGGCACTTTCTGATCATGTTCTTTCAGTTTGTTTATATGGTGGATTACATTGACAGATTTTTGTATGTTGAACCATCTTTGCATCCTGGGATGATGTCTACTTGGTCCTGGTGGATAATTTTTTTGATGTGTTCTTGGATTCAATTTGCCAATATTTTGTTGAGTATTTTCACATCAATGTTCATGAGGGAGATTGGTCTGTAATTCTCTTTCTTTGCTGCATCTTTGTGTGGTTTGGGTATCAGGGTAATTGTAGCCTCATAAAAAGAGTTTGGTAATGTTCCTTCTGTTTCTATTGTGTGGAACAATTTGAAGAGTATTAGAATTAGCTCTTCTTTGAAAATATGGTAGAATTCTGAGCTGAAACCATCTGGTCCTAGGCTTTTTTTGGTTAGGAGACTTTTTTTTTTTTTTTTTTTTTTTTTGGTTTTTCGAGACAGGGTTTCTCTGTGTAGCTTTGCGCTTTTCCTGGAACTCACTTGGTAGCCCAGGCTGGCCTCGAACTCACAGAGATCCACCTGCCTCTGCCTCCCAAGTGCTGGGATTAAAGGTGTGCGCCACCACCGCCCGGTTGGTTGGGAGACTTTTAATGACTGTTTCTATTTCCTTAGGGGTTATTGATCTATTTAAAGCGTTTATCTGGTCTTGATTGAACTTTGGTATGTGGTACCTATTCAGAAAATTGTCCATTTCTTTCAGGTTTTCCAATTTTGTGGAGTAAGGTTTTTGAAGTATGACCTGATGATTCTCTGGATTTCCTCGTTGTCTATTGTTATGTCTCCTTTTTCATTTCTGATTTTGTTAATTTGGATGCTCTCTCTCTGCCTTTTGGTTAATTTGGATAGGGGTTTGTCTATCTTGTTGATTTTCTCAAAGAACCAACTGTTTCATTGATTCTTTGTATTGTTCTCTTGGTTTCTATTTCATTGATTTCAGCTCTCAATTTGATTACTTCCTGGTGTCTATTCCTCCCAGGTGAGTTTGTTTCTCTTTGTTCTAGAGCTTTCAGGTGTGCTGTTAACTCATTAGTGTGAGATTTCTCCAACTTCTTTTTTTTTTTTTTTTTTTTTTTTTGGTTTTTCGAGACAGGGTTTCTCTGTGCAGCTTTGCGCCTTTCCTGGGACTCACTTGGTAGCCCAGGCTGGCCTCGAACTCACAGAGATCCGCCTGCCTCTGCCTCCCGAGTGCTGGGATTAAAGGCGTGTGCCACCACCGCCCGGCTTCTCCAACTTCTTTATGTGTGCATTTAGAGCTATGAATTTTCCTCTTAGCACTGCTTTCATAGCGTCCCATAAGTTTGGATATGTTGTACTTTCATTTTCATTGAATTTTAGGAAATATTTAATTTCTTTCTTTATTTCTTCCATGACCCATTGGTGCTTCAGGTGGGCATTATTCAGTTTCCATGAGATTGTAGGCTTTCTATAGTTTTTGTTGTTGAAATCTAACTTTAAGGCATGGTGGTCTGCTAAAATATAGGAGGTTATTCCAATGTTTTTGTATCTGTTGAGATTTGCTTTGTGACCGAGCATGTGGTCAATTTTCGAGTTTTTGTTTTTGTTTTTGTTTTTGTTTTTTTGCTTTTTTTGGTTTTTTCGAGACAGGGTTTCTCTGTGTAGCTTTGCGCTTTTTCTGGAACTCGCTTTGGAGACCAGGCTGGCCTTGAACTCACAGAGATCCGCCTGCCTCTGCCTCCCGAGTGCTGGGATTAAAGGCGTGCGCCACCACCGCCCGGCGAGTTTTTGTTTTTTGAGACAGGGTTTCACTGTGTAGATTTGCTTGTCTTGGAACTCACTGTATAGAGTAAACTGGTCTTGAACTCCCAGAGATTTGCCTGCTTCTGCCTCCCTAGTGCTAGGATTACAGGTCTGCACCACCACACTGGCTTGGTTTTCTTAATTTACAATAAATAGTTAGACACAAGAATTCTTTTTCATTTCTGTTTGTTTTGGTTTTTGTTTTGTTTGTTGTTTTGGTTTTTTTAGACACAATAATTCTTGACTCTGAATGGTTAAGTCCAAAGAAGTTCCCACTGTTAAAATGAGGCCCAAGCCTGCTGGTGACATCATAGAGGAGGGTTCCAAGACAACAGACAGGGTCTTCCTGGAAGCCTGGGCCATAGTTGGCACTGATCTCAGCTTTAGGAGAGAAGAAGATCCAGGAAAGGTCCTTTGGGTTCTATGCTTAAGCTCTCTTTGTTCCAGGGGTTCCAGTACAATCATGGATAAACCCTCGAAGACGGATGATGCGCATCCTGAGGCACACCCTAGTAAAGTGGATCCAAGCCATTACTCATCCCACTCCCATGCACACCATAGGCCAGGCCACAACGGAGCCCATCATCATCGTGATGCCCATCACCAACCATCTCACAATCATGGTGGATCCCACTATCAAAATGAATCCCAGCATTTCCGTGAGTCCTCAGACCGTGAAGGTGCTTTCTCCCGTCAGTCCCATCACCATAACAGATCTCACCTCTCCACATCACCTGATACCGTTCCTCACCACTTTGGTGGGTCCCATGATGAATCTCACCCCCATACTGAATCCCACCACCATAGTGAGTCCCACCAGCATGGCAGACAGCACCAAGATGGACATCACTATCATGGAGGGCACCATCGAGCTAGCGAAACTTTCTCCCACCTCTCCTCTCCTGAGTCACACAGCCAAAGGGATGCTTCCCACCATGGGAAACCTCATCATGGTCACCGTCCTGAGGAATCCCATCATCAAGGCCACCGTTATGGCAGGCCTCACCATCCTGAATTCCAATACCACCGAAGACAGTCTTATTACGGAGGGAACATTTCCTTCCACTCCTCTGAGGGGTCCTTCCACCAGGAAAGATCTCACCTCCATGGTAGCCATCATACAGGCCACCAAGCTCACCATGGCGAGCATTCCCATCACAGAGAGCACCATCACCACAGAGAACACCATCATGGAGAGCATCCTCATCACAGAGGAGAGCATGGAGAGCATCCTCACCACAGAGGAGAGCATGGAGAGCATCCTCACCACAGAGGAGAGCATGGAGAGCATCCTCACCACAAAGGAGAGCATCCCCATCATCGCCATCAGAGCATCTCCCAATTCTCTGCCACATTCAAGTCCCACAGCACACTTGGCATCTCCCCTTCTCCTATGGGAACCAAAAGCTCACTCTATAGCGTGCCTCACTCCCACTTTGCAAGTCGATCTTTTGCCTCTCATGTTTCCAGCAAAGTTCATCCCAAGGACGGCTCCAAAGAATCAGACTCCTGGAGTGAGGATGAACAAATTCAGAAGCGCAAAAGTGAGTCTTTCCTGGACCTGCAACCCAGACTCCTACTCCCTTGCTCAGATTCCTGCAGATCTAGCCCAGACCCTGAACCGGCTTTCCACACAACAGGAAGCTCAGTTCTCACCTGCAGAGGCATTCCATCAGCCATTTTCTCCTCTTGCTGCTCACTGTCCTGCCCTCTATTCCTTAAGCTGTACGATTCTGAAGGCCACACAGTGTTTCTGCATTTAGTCACTGCTTTATTCATGGCATGTTCATGTCTTGACCATTGAGGCTCTCATCAAATGTGGATACCTGGTCTTTCTGGGTCCCTGGCAGTACAGGGAAGAATCTGGGACAGTTGTAGCAGTCACAGGGTCCAAAACTAGGGGCAGGTACAGTCACAGGCCAGCTAATGGCAGAAGCCTACCATCTTGTATATCAGGACATTTGTCTCTGTGGGTTCTGTGTCCTCATGTGCCTCACTATGTGAAACAGTTGCTGAGAGCATATCCTGGTAACCAATACTAAAAGAAGAAACCAACTTACTGCGAGAGACCTTGACTGTTACAGTCTCCCAGACTCTCTGCCTACTAGTTTATCAAAAACAGCAACAGTTTCACTCATAATCCGAGAGGAACAAGTGACTTACTGAATGGGAACAGGAAAAGTAGTCGGGGGAGGGATAATTTAGCAGGATCTTAAACTAGAAAAGATATCATCGAGATGGCAGGATGCTAACAAGAATTAGGTTTTCTTTAAGTTTCGATATGGGCAAAGATCTAGAGTTGTCGGGTCAGGGTCTCTTAGGACCTGCCAAACCACATCCCAAACAGCTTGACCCTGATGAGAAAGATTTAAGGACTGTGGCCCCAAGACCAGCACAGGGCAAGCATAGTGTTACATTAGTGAACGAGTAAGAGGAGGGATGGTAATGAACCTTTGCCTGTCTGGAAGCGTGCCTGGGATCACTGTACCCCATCACTCCCTGCCTGGGCATAACTTTCTGATCTCCTTACAGGGACCCAGCGCACCCACAAGAAGTTGCACTCTGGGAATATCTTCCAATGGATTTGGGAAAAAATAAGCTACCTCCTTTGGGGTTTCCGGCAAATGATGATGTCACTGACTCAGTCCCTGGGCTTTGAGACCTTCATCTTCATCGTGGTCTGCCTCAACACAATTGTCCTTGTGGCCCAGACCTTCACTGAGCTAGAGATCAGAGGAGGTAAGAGTCAGATCGTACTGTCCTTATGCTGAAGACAGTTGATGTGGCTCCAGGGCTTCCCATGAGCCTGATCCAGTGCCAGAAGGTCTTTAAAACTTGTTACTTTGTCTTCACCCCCTGGCAACTTGGTGACATTCCCGAGGTAGAAATATTGCTGAGATCATTGTAGAAAACCCACTGAACTGTAGGCTGTGCTGTTCATGATGTAGCCACCAGGTGGCGCATATACTCTAAATATATTGCTGGGGGTGGGGGGTGGGAGATGCTGGGAATCTTGGGTCTAGGGGAAGAACCTAGAAACCTCTACCAGGAGGCCCTGGAAAGGTTAAAACAGAAAGCTTAAGAATGCTGGCCTCTGAAGGCCAGTAGAGCAAGATGAAGAAAATGATTCACCACATGCCCACAGTTTAAGGCTGCAGTTTTAGGACATGTTAAATGCATTTATGCTTATAAACAACTCTATCAAGTAGATTATTATTGTTCCCATTTTACAGACAGGAAAACTCAGGAACTTAGTGTTTAAGTCACACAGCCATTTAAAGGAGCTAGGGGCCTGGGCACATGCCTTTAATTCCAGCAGAATGAAGCAGAGGCCAGCAGATCTCCATGAGTTTAAGACCAGCATGGCCTACATAGAAAATTACAGGCCAGTCAGAGCTACATAATGAGGTTTTGTCTAAAAAAAAAAGAAAGAAAGAAAACAGGCAGGTACAGCCTGGGTGTTTGGCCTACATGAGGTCCTAGTGATGAAGGGATGAGGGGTGTGTGTGTGTGTGGCCGGATGCCAGGGATTGTCACTAAGAACACCTCTGATGTCCCCACAGAATGGTACTTCATGGTCCTGGACTCCATCTTCCTCTCCATCTACATTCTAGAAGCCGTGCTCAAGCTGATTGCCCTGGGCATGGAGTACTTTTATGACCCATGGAACAATCTGGGTAGGTGGGTGGGTTGTGAGAGGGAAGAGGCCGTTGAACTGCTTCAGGGGAGCTTAGGACAGAAGAGGGACAGAGACAGGATGCTGGCTTAGAGAAGCCTGTGGGTCTGGGCTCAGGGTCTGTTGGGCCTCCTCAGCTCAAGCACCCCTCTGTCCTCAGACTTCTTCATCATGGTCATGGCGGTGCTGGACTTTGTACTCCTCCAGATCAATTCCCTCTCCTATTCATTCTACAACCACAGCCTGTTCCGGATTCTCAAAGTTTTCAAGAGCATGAGGGCGCTGAGGGCCATCCGGGTCCTTCGGAGGCTCAGGTCATTGCTGTCAAGGCTGTTTGCCCTGGTGTGAAGATTCTCAAGGAAAAGGGCACAGGGGCCTGGATTTCCAGGGAGTCCACTGTGACCTATTTCAGGGATGGTGGTGGGTTGGCACTGTGGCCCCTTGCATGATTGGGATAAGCCTTCCTAGGGTTCTTGCAAGAATCAATTTATTTTCCAGGGAAGGATGGGAACATGACTAAGTCACCAGTGAATTAGGGACCCCCTAATTTTAATGCCCAGTCTGGTTATTGGGTGCAGCTCTCCACTTCCATCCCCACTGATTCAGACTCCCTCTCCACCACTACCCACAGCATCCTCACCAGCCTCCACGAAGTGACGGGGACTCTGAGTGGATCTTTGCCATCTATCACAGCCATCCTCACCCTCATGTTTACCTGCCTCTGTATCCTGCACAGTGGGGGTTGGGTGGCTTCCGGCCTAGGGCAGATGGGAGTTGGGGGAAGCAGGTCTGGAAGGGGCTGAGTGAAACCTAGTGGGGGGTGGGTACAGGGGCAGGAGTTCTGGTTCGGGTTTGGCCCTGACAGTTGCCAGTCCTCTTCTCTGTGGTGCTCCGGGCACTCTTCCGGAAATCGGACCCCAAGCGCTTCCAGAACATCTTTACCACCCTCTTCACCTTATTCACCATGCTCACCTTGGATGACTGGTCCCTCATCTACATGGACAGCAGGGCCCAGGGTGGGCAGAGGGCAGGGTCCAGGGCATGGTGGGTAGGTGCTAATGGCTCAGTACCATTTGCCATCTGCGGGCTGCTGATACCTGCTAGAAAGAGTAGAAATTAGGGCATGCCTTTTGATTGACACTTTCCCTCCACAGGGGCCTGGTACATCATCCCCATCCTCATGATCTACATCATCATCCAGTACTTCATCTTCCTCAAGTGAGGCACCTACTTTACTGCCCAGCTTCACCACGGGCTCTCCACCCGACCCAGCCCAGCCCTCTCACCCTGGTCATCGGTCACACTGGACTCAGAGGACAGTATGTGGCCTCTTCTCTGGTGTCCCCTTTAAGAGCTCCCCACTGTCCCCTCTACAGCCTGGTGATTGCTGTCCTGGTAGATAACTTCCAGATGGCGCTTCTCAAAGGCCTAGAGAAAGTGAAGCTGGAGGTACCACACACATGGGGGAGGCCAGGGGAACAGAAGAACAAATGCCCCAGCGTGGGGGCCGGGGAAGAAACTCTGGTAGAACTCAGGCCTTTTATCTAGAAAGCTGCCCGGGTCCATGAGAGGCTGCTGGAGGACTCTCTGACAGAGCTCAGCCAAGCAGGTACTGGCCAGTCCCTCCTCCTTCGCATCCCCCCCCCACCCCCCCTGAGGAGCCAGGCTACTTCAGGACTATAGAATCTGAGATAGGAGAGGACTATCTAAGTTTAGAACTTTGGTCCAAAGGACTATCCTCTAAAAGCCTATTCAATTCAGCAATTTTTTACTTCTTTTTTATTTTATTTTTTTCTTTCAAGACAGGGTTTCTCTGTGTAGCTTTGGTGCCTGTCCTGGAACTCACTCTGTAGACCAGGCTGGCCTCGAACTCACAGAGATCCCCCTGCCTCTGCCTCTCAAGTGCTATGGTTTAGTTCTTAAGAGTTACTTTTTCTTTATGGTGGCAAAACGGTCAACTGCAACCCTAGTTCCAAGTCCTCACAGTGTAAGCATCCCTGTGCGCTCTCGCAGAAAACGTGGTCCTCAAGCCAGTCTTACTGAGACACACATGTGATCCTAGCACTTGGGAGACTGAGACAAGAAGAGTTGAGCTTCAAGTCGAGGGCTAGCCTGAGCTACAAAGTGAGACCCTGTCTCAAGCAACAGCAGTAATAGAGAAAACATGATCCCCTTCTCCCAGCAGTCCCAGCGAACCCCCAGAGGTGTGCCTCCTCTCTTCTGATTGGTTCCCATGCCTAGGGGTTTTTTTTGTTGTTGTTTTCCGAGACAGGGTTTCTCTGTGTTGTTTTGGTGCCTGTCCTGGATCTCGCTCTGTAGACGAGGCTGGCCTCAAACTCACAGAGATCCGCCTGGCTCTGCCTCCCGAGTGCTGGGATTAAAGGCGTGCGCCACCACCGCCCAGCCCCATGCCTAGTTTTGAACCCGTCACTCTAGCCTTTGATTGACATGCTTGATTGGAGTGGCCGTGGTAGTAATCCCAGCTAGACCACAAGGACTGCAACAGGATGAGGTAGAACACTTGTGCCAGATGAAGACCGCAAGGCTGGGGGTGTAGTTCAGTGGTACCCTCTCATGTGAGGGGCCCTGGACACCACCCATCCCTGTCACCACAAATGATGATGATAATAATAGTGATGATGATAATTATGAAATTAATTTCAGTTGGGTGTGGTGTGCACACCTTGAATCCCAGCACTCCAGCAGGCAGAGGCAGGCAGAGCTCTGTGAGTTCAAAGCCAGCCTGGTCTACAGAGTAAGTTCGAGGCCAGCCAGGACTGCACAATGAAACCCTATCTTTAGAAAAAAAAAAAAAAGAGAGAGAGAGAGAAATAAAGAAAGAAATGCAAATGAAAAAAACAAAATCATAACATGCTCTGCAGCTAGAGAAGCAACCTTTTAGGGGTGTGCTGGTAAGAAATTCCTTAAAGCCTCTCTTATATGTCCTGATTTTTTTTTCCAATACAGGGCTTCTCTGTGTAGCTCTGACTGTCCTGGAATTCACTCTGTAGACCAGGTTGACCTCTAACTCACAGAGATTTGCCTGCCTCTGCCTCCTTAGTGCTGGGATCAAAGTCCTGTGCTACTACTGCCTAGTTAAGACCTCCCTTATACTTTCCTGACGTGTGGAATTCCTCTGCCTTCTTGAGTCCAGTCATTTGCCTGGACATCCTCCTCACCATGCCTCTCTCTCTCCATCCAGACGCTGAGGCCCAAATGAGCGAGACTGCCTTGCAGATGCAGTTTATCGAGAGAATGTTCAGCACCATGACAGAGAAGTGAGGAGGTGGACGGAAGGGGAGGCCTTGGTCCAGGGCAGGAGGTCTGGAGGCCTCATGGTGGGCTGGGAGGAAAAAGAACATTGCCCATCTCTCATGGGCTGCAGGAAGTGGGTGGAAGACTCAGACTTGTTTCCACTCCCACGACTGGGACCTGGGAACCATAAGCACCCCTGGACAGTGAGGAGCAGCACCCAGCTCTCAGAGAAAGAGTCATGTTGCCTGCTCTGCGCGTACCATAGCAGTAGCAGAGCTTTCTCTTTTCTCTTTATTAGAGAAGTATCCTGACCCTTGTCAGATTCAGGCCCCCTGAGGGTGCCAGGGACCCAAGGAGAAGTCATACTCTAGTACTGCCATTCAGATCCACGCTGCCGGAATCTTTGCTGGTTCATTAGACTGACAGGTTTCAGCCACGTGGAAGGTTCAAGGGGGACTGTGGGGAATTGTTGAGGCAAAGTCTGGAGACCACATGGTCAAACTTCATCCCTCTCCATCCCTGGCCAGGCCAACTCAAGATTCCTGCTGAAGACGAGGGTCCTTGGCAACAGGCTGCTGTTTCTTGGTTCTTAGGCCTAGTTCTCTTGAGGTTCTTTATGAAAGCCAAGCCCTGTGCCTCTGCCCCACAACCAGTCTGGCTCCAGATCACTATACAGGGCATACCTGAGAGCTGACATCCCCTGGTCTCTGCTCACCATGAGAGAATTCAAGATCGGCAGCCTAGATTCAGGATCCTGTATGATCAGGCTAGTGCCAGCCCTCCTCATGTCACAGATATTGCTCCCTATGGCACAACCTTGTTTTGTCCACATTCTTTCCTAAGCTTGCTTACTGCAGGCCTCTGCCTACCCTATTGCTTTCGGTTAGATCTTGATGCCAGGCTCGGATGAGCAGGATTTAAGGGAGCCAGTTTCAGTCCTGATACTGTCACCTGCTGCGTCACTCTCCTGTTTATCCTACATGTTCCAGGACCTGAGCCACCACTGGAGCCTCTGCCATACTTCTTTAGGGGTAGAGTCCCTAGTGGTCCCCTCCACTGAGAGTATCTTTTCGTGTAATTTTGGCTTTTCACTCTCCATTGAACTTAAGCTCTGATCCTCACTCCTCCTTCCCCTCTGGGTGAAGTCAGGCTCTTTCCTCTAACAAGGGCTCTCAGCATCGTGCTGCTGACACTTACGATGTGTTGTGGTTGTCTGGGTCCGAGGGTGACACCTCTTTCTTGTTCGTGTCAACATCCTTGGAGCAGCTTGCTTTCCCTCTTCCCAGTGTTTTCGGCGAATGGATTGATAAGATCCAATGGGTGGGTGATTGTTAGACTGAGTGGGCGGATCCAGGGAAGAACAGGTAGGTGGAGGGTAGGTAAGTGTGGAAGGGTGCAGTCGCCAGACAGATGAGTGAGTGACTGGGCACATGATGGATAGGCAGGTGGTTGAGTGGGTCCACGTTTTGGCTTGTGTAGATAAATGGGCAAGAAGATGAGTATACAAATAAGTGTATGGCAGGACGGATGATTAAGAGATAAGCCATTGCTGATGCCTCGACGGCACAGACAGGGACATTTTGGGTATTGGACAACAGGCAGACTCACCCAGTCTAATGGTGTACGCTGGTAACCTCAGCTCCTTGGGAGGCCGAGGCAGAAGGATCACAAGTTCAAAAGCAGTCTGGACAACTCAGTGGGACCTCATCTCAAAATAAAAATGTTAGGGACTCGAAGAGACGACGAAGTCTGTAGAGTGCCGTCCATGCCAGCATGAGGGCCTGAGTTTGGACCCCAACACTCAAGTCAAACACTAGGTGTACCAGTGCATGCCTGTGCCTGCAAAAGTCGGGAGGACCCCTGTGCCTCGCTGGCCAGTCAGCCTAGCCAATCAGTGAGCGCCAGATTCAATGGCAGACACCACCTTCAAAAATAAAGTGCAAGTCCAGCAGTGGTGGTGTATGCCTTGAATCCCAGCACTCAGGAGGCAGAGACAGGTGGATCTCTGTGAGTTCGAGGCCAGCCTGGGCTACAGAGTGAGTTCCAGGACAACCAGGCTACACAGTGAAACCTTGTCTCTAAAAAAAAAAAAAAAAAATACAGAAAAACCCCCCAAAAAACAAACAAAACCCGAACAACAACAACAAAGTGGAGAACAGGAGAGGAAGACACCCAGCATTGACTTCTGGCCTCCACACACATGCACACATTCACGTATACCCACATGCACACATGTGTACACAAACATACACACATACACAAAGTAACTAATAAGCAAGATCTATAAAAAGAGACATCCTGGAGATAGAGGTCCAGGTCATGGCAAGCAGAGCCATGTTAGGGCCCCGGGAACCCAGTCCTTGTCTCTGCCCACCCCCAGGCAGCGGGACCTCCACTTCCAGTTCCTGCAGTTGGTGGCCTCGGTGGAGCAGCAACAGCAGAAGTTTCGTTCCCAAGCATCTGTCATCGATGAGATTGTCGACACTGCATTCGAGGTGAAGCAGGAAGCACTGGGGCAGGGGAAAGGTAGAGAAAGGCTTGGGGGTAGAAGCTCTTACCCAAACGTGGTTCTGAGTAACAGGCATGGCATTGGCAAAATCTGACCCGGGTTCACTCACACACACCCTATCTGACCCCACAGGCTGGAGAAGAGGATTTTGGGAAATGACCCTGAAGAGCACCACCATATTGACTTGAGTCTTTGGGAAGTGGCCTGCCAGGGTGGGTTGGGACAAGTCCCTAACTCTGCTGGCATTGTTATCCAGAACCATGCTCGACTGAGGTCCCAACAGAATTTTAAAACCCCCGTGTGGCTCTGTTGTTAGAGCCCACTAGATTTCCTAGTGGCTGTACCCAGCAGGACTGCATAAGAGGTTGATTGGACCATGGGCCTGGGCACCAGGTGACTGTAACTAGCAAGGGGGAAGTCTCTTGCTCCACCCCTTGGCATTGTTATAAACAGACTTTTGGAATAAAGTTCTGGGCCAGTAGATAAGGATCCAGGCCCACCCAAGTCTATCCTGTGTTTTCTCTCTTTACCCATTCCTCATTCCTCAAGAGTTCCTGGGGTAAGTGAGTGTGGGGGCTGGTCTCCCACACTCTGTCCTCACTGGCTAGCCTGACACAAAGGGCAAGGGGAGCTGGACAGTGTGCTGCAGGCATATGTCAAGAGTTGCATGTGGAAGGGGCTCTTCTTGGATCTCTTCTGGCCTCACCAGGTCCCAGCCTTCCAGTTCAGTCCAACAGTGCATTAGAATAGATCAGAAGGGTGGCACAGGAAGAGGAGCCTGATGCCAAGCAGTGATGGCGCATGCCTTTAGTGCCAGGATAGCCAGGACTGGTACACAGGACTGGTACTCAAAAAACAGAAACAAAACATAAAAGGAACCTGGGTACTGATGGAAGACTAAATGAGAAGTCCTCTGCTTATGGGAGGAAAGCCTGTCTGGCCTGGGGTCAGGAGAAAAAGAGCAGACTGGAACATCCCAGAATTGTCAGGATTGCATCAGACACCAGACATGGGGCCCAGCAATCAGGCTTACCAGGAACCTCATCATCTAACATAAGAGTACCAACCCAGTGGGAATATGAAGAGCTCAAAAGGTCGATAGTGGCGCACACCTTTAATCCCAGCACTTAGGAGACAGAGGCAGGCAGATCTCTGAGTTCTAGGCCAGCCTGGTCTACAGAATGAGCTCCGGGACAGCCAGGGCTACACAGAGAAACCCTGTCTTGAAAAACCAAAAACAAATAAATAAATAAAAATTAAAAAGAACTCAGAGGTTTAAAAAAGGGGGGGGAGCTGGTGTGATGGCTGGGTGGTTAAGATCACTTGCTGCTCTTCCAGAGGACCCAAGTTCAGCTCCCAGTAACAGACTACTTACAACCACCTGTAACTCAGCTCTAAAGGATCTGACAGTTTCTTTTAGCCTCCATGGGCACTGAACTCATATGCTCAACCCACACACAGACACACATGCATTCACATAAATAATATTCCCCAAACCCCTAGAGGTTAAAGGTCACTGACATCCCCTTTCCCACCTGAAGTAAAACTACAAAACGTAGTGAAGGGGCAGAGGAGGCCTCTGATCTTCCTGGCCTCAGAGCAGATGGGGACAGGGCCATGTGACATGGACCAGCCACTGTTGGGAGAGGGACACAGAAAATGGCTGTGTCTGCTCAGGCTGCTTTAGGGCTTAGATGAGTCCCACATGTACTGCCTGAGCCCCAGAAGGATGTCCTGAGCCCCTGTGGGACTGCCGGTTGGGACATTTGTCTGTGCTAAGCACTGAGTTAAGGTGAAGCTCAGTTCTGGCCCAGGGGCTCCCCATCAAGGGTTAGCTGTCTTCCATCATTGATAACCATCTTCCTCTTAGTGGAGGCCAATCCACGGGGTCATGTGGGCTGGAGGGACTCCAGAATGGGAGATGGAGGATGATTTGACCAACACCCACACAGACCATCGGTCTTTGCTAGAAAGCAGTGCAATCTCTGGGACCTTAAGACAGAAACATCACTTGGTGGAAACTCCTCCCCCTAGCCTTGTTTAGTCATGCCCAGCTTCAGAAATACACCAAGCAGAGGAAATGTCATCTGGGATTTGGGCACAGATTCCAGGGGTGGAGAAACCACTTCCCGGGCTTCCTTGAGTCTAGCCTCTCCCCAGGCCTCACACATTCATTCAACAAGTATTTCCTGCCATTCGCCCTGTACTGACTCCACGCTGGTATCTCCTGCTTGATGAAACTTGGGAAACCTTCCAAGCAGTGACTGACACACAGCACAAACTGAACTGCCACGGGTTTATCAGGTTCCCACAGAAGCAGGGCTGCAAGCTGTCCCCATGTCGACACCAAATCCAGCCCCTCAGTGTCTCAGGCTTCCCAGGTGGCACTCAGTCTCCATTCCTTCCCTGATGTGGCCTTTGAGGGCTGTAGACAGGACCCAACTGCAACTGCTGTTCATGAGGTCACAGAATTGGGTGGGAGGAGTGGGGTCAGACAGGAACAAGCTCGGTGTGAAGCCTTCCTTAGAAAGGAGAAGGTAAGCGGGCGGTGGCGCACACCTTTAATTCCAGCACTCGGGAGGCAGAGCCAGGCAGATCTCTGTGAGTTCGAGGCCAGCCTGGTCTACAGAGTGAGTTCCAGGACAGGCACCAAAACTACACAGAGAAACCCTGTCTGGAAAAACCAAAAAAAAAAGGGGGGGGGAGGAGAAGAAGACATGAATAGTGAAGAGTGGCTGTCTGGTCTCTGGTCACTCTCCACACCACACCTGTGATGCCAGCTTGAACCTAGCACCTCCTAGTTAGTGCTCCCAAGACAACCGGTGACTATAGTCTGTCCCCAGGGTGGGTAGATGCAAGTTAGTATGTCTGAGCAAGACTTCTGGACATGATTCAAGTGCTGGCTTGGGTGGGTAGGGAGCCCTGTACGCATCTCTAGGTTACCTCCTGCTTCTCTGAGGTATGTGCTTTCTGACTGTTTTCTCTGCTTGTGTTTCTAGGCTGTGTTACTAGCATTTTCAGGGCATGTCTATAATATCTATTAGCACCTGAGTGGGTCCTGTGACTGCCCCCCCATTTGATTATGTGTATAACAAGAATTGTGTCCACAAAGAAACATACAAAGAATGTATTACCTGTTTCCTCCAATCCAACATAGCATTGAAGGGACCCTGTTCCCTCCCGTGATAGAAACCCTCCAGGGTAGCAGGTTTGCTCTTGTTCCCTCAGGTGTTCCATGGCCCAGACACGTGATACTTACTCTTTCTGGGCCCCTCCCACTCCATCAGGCAGGGTTAAGGAAGTGAGGTTAGTTACTAGCTCCTAGGCCTCTTGGCCTATGGGAATGCTGAAGGAGAGGAGGTCATTTCTTGCTACCAGTGTGCACAAGAATATTTGTGACCTGGGAACCCAGAGCCCCGGAGCCCACAGAGTTCATCACCCAGGCACATCTTACATGTCTTCTGAGTACTGAGAGTTTAGCAGGATATGGGCTTCCCTTCAAGTGCTCATGGATGTGGGACTAGACTGGATTGGCAACTGCCTGGAGGCTCCTCAGTAGCCAGGGTCATTTCCGGTAAGGCCAGCTGTGGACTTGTGCCAGGGCCTCCAAGGGCTGTAGTTTGGGAACATATGTGGTCAAACATTTCAGACACTGAGACGGGAAGTACTTTGTTTGCTGTCCCAGAATCTAGCTCGTTAAAGGAAAACAAGATACCTTGAGCTCGCTGTTAATTCAGCTGTCTGATGCTCTGTGCTGCTTTATCATTTGAGAGCAATAAAAAGATCTGTGCCACTAATAACCTCGCTGGCCTGCGTCATCTGCCTTTTCAGCCCTCCTGACCACAGCTTTGTTGATCAGGGTTTCTCTGTGTAGCCTTGGCTATCCTGGAACTCACTATGTAGACCAGGCTGGCTTTGAACTTGCAGAGATCTGCCTGCCTCTGCCTCCCAAGTGCTGGGATTAAAGGCGTATACCACCACCGCTGCCGGGCACAAAAGACATTGGGTCTCCTGGGTTTGGAGTTACAGATGGTTGCAAGTAGCCATGTGGGTACTGGGAATCAAACCCAAGTTCTCTGCAAGAACAGCCAGTGCTCTTAACTATTAAGCCATCTCTCCAGGCTTTGACCCCGGCTTTTAGCTGTCTATCTTTTCTCATCCCCATCCTCCCCCTCAGAGTCCCAGCATGAACCAGGAAGGGATGCTGGTCCTGTTCACACAGACATCCCTGCTGCAAGTAGTCTCAGGGCATCGTCCCTCTATCCCTTCTATGACATTGTTTCCTTCTCCCTTACCTCTGAGACTACTGAAAGTGTCTGAAGACCGGCTTCCCATTTGAGGAATGCACCCTCTGTGAGCCTCAGATGGGTCAGCAGGGGCTCTCTGGGGGTTAAGGGCGTAGAGCCCTGTCAGCTGTGGGGTTCTGAGAGTCACTGGGAGCAGAGTGAGGGTCAGGGTGAGGAGGCACACAGGAGAAACCAATGCAAGAAGCAGTGCTAAGAATTTATTGCAGCAGATGTGGCCTGTGGCCCAGAGGTGCCTCCACCCCATGCTTGTTCCCATGGGGTCTTGTCACGGTCACCCTGGGGCTGGTTACACCTGCTTACAGTCATGCTTTAGAAGCTGAGTAGTGTTCTTCCAGGGGACTTCAAGGAGCTCAAAGTCACAACGCAGCCTCTGAGGAGGGAAGGCAGTGGACAAGGAGGGTAAGCTTGGTGCTGGCCTCCTCCCAGCAGTCAGCCTCCTGCCTGCCACATCTCTCTGGAGCCAGAGACAGACCATTGGTGATACCAAAACATCTGATGGCAGGAGATGATCCCAGATCTATCAGGCAACTCCCACCCCAAGAAAAAAAAACCCAATCTCTCCTCCCTGCACCCCACCCTGGCCTGAGTCACACAAAGACCAGACAGGACAGGTCCGGCCAGGCTTTTGCCTGGCCAGATAGACTAGTCAGGATGGACAAGCTAAGGGCCTCAGACTCTGCAGAGGGCTGGGCTGGAGTCAATGCTGTTACCTCCTGCTGCACCCCTGTGGCCAGGGGGCAAGTGGTGAGGTCCATGTGGTCTCCAGAGACTCTGGTCTTTCTGCACTCTGTGCTCTCTAAGTCCATAGTCAGGTAGAACTTGACGCCAGTCACCAGCTGGGAACAAGATAGGGCAGGTCAGAGATGCCTGGGAGCCCAACGTGTGTGTGCCTACTCTTTCCAAGTCTTCAACTTCGCCTGGCAAATGCAACACTCTGGCCTAATTCAGACCTGGAGTGGAGGTGGGGGCTTCTAGGTGTGGCCTAGGGGTAGAGCCTAGGCCCTGCAGGAGGCTGAAGAGCCCTGTAGTACACCTGTCCGCGGCTAGGGCAGATGTGGAGAATGGCACGTGATACCTACTCTGTCTGGGCCCCTCCCTCTCCATCTGGCAGGGTTAGGGAAATGAGGTTAGTTATACCAAAAGTGATTGAATCCTGCATTTTTTTTTTTTATCATTAGATAACGTTGGTTGCCATAGGTTTTGCCAGTCATCTGTATTTAAGTATTTCATAAAATGGGCTCGACGTCATGATTGGCTTAGCGCCCTCTTGTGTTTGGTAGCAGGCCAGCGGCTCTCTGGCCTGTCCCCCGTTGCCTGTCCCTCTCCATAGCCACTCCGTCCCACAACCACCACACCTGATAGGATGCACCGACGATTTTGGTGTCTCGGAAGTAGTAGAGGCTGTTGCTGCCCATATTGTAGCTGCTCACAGCTGCCTGCGCGGCCTTCTGCGCCCGCGGGTCGTTGGGAGACAGGTTCTGGCGTTCTCCGGTCATGCGGCTCCGGCTCCGCAGCTCTGCGCGGGCGTCCGGGGACAGAGTCAGGAGGCAGAATGCGAGCAGGGCCAGGCCCATCGCCAGCGGGAAGTGAGGACGCTCCATAGCCGCAGATGTCAGTGCCACAGCTCCATCCCGCACGGCTTTTACGGGCTCCCGGGGCCCCGCCCGGCTCCGCCCACCGCCTGCCTGTTTCCTTAGCAGGCCTGGACCCGCGGCAGGTGCCTGGAGGCGGCTGTACCTCCCCCACCTAGGAGGACCAGGACCGGCACACAGGTCCCAGAACCTCTACGTATAAGGATGCTGGCCTATCATCTCTATCATCCAGGAGGGAGAGGACAGTGACAGTTCACCAGCACCAAAGGCCACCACAGGGACAGGACAGTTCATACCACGAACCTGCAGTGTGAATTGCCAAAGCAGCTGTAGTTGAACTCTTACTATAGCTATCATTTTCTTGTCCTGGGGCCTTCATTTCTTCTTCTGGAAAATAAACGTTGTAAGGATTTAATGAACTGACACAGGCAAAGAGCCTAGGAAGAGGCTGGGTGCTATGCAAACACTAGGTAAGTAGGGAGAGTCCTTGCTACTGAAGCCGCACTGCTTAATCCTCCCGGCCACGGTGAAGCGGGGGTGACGGGCCCCTGCATTTGCTGATGTGGGAACAACACAGAACGGAGAACTAATTTGCTCAAAGACATGAGCTGGTCCCTAGTAAGTGAGGATACTGAACAGCTTAAGTCGTGTGTGTCAGTGTGTGCGAGAGTGTGTGTGTGTGTGTGTGTGTGTGTGTGTGTGTGTGTGTGTGTGTGTGTGTGTGTTATAAAACAAGATCTTATGTATCCTAGGCTGACCTTGAACTTGTGTAGTTCAGGATGACCTTGAACTTCTGATTTTTCCGGCCCCTACCTTCACATGCTGGGGTTAGTGTCGTATTTTATGTGGCACTGAGAACCAAACCCAGGGCTTCATGCATGTTAGACAAGCACTCTACCACTGACATCTCAGCTCCATTTAGTTTTGTTGGGCTTGAACCCAGGGTCTTGTGTATGCTGGGCAAACACTTTACCACTTAGCTATATTTTCAGCCCTCTTTTTACTCATTTTTAGACAGGGCCTTGTTCAGTCTCGTAGGGATTACAAGCCTATGCCACCAGGCCTAGATCAAATCTGTGTTCTTAACCCAGAATAAGTTTGAAAGGTAAGAATTGCCCCCAAAGGGGAGAGTGTCATACCAGCTGCCATCTTACTGACTGGGTGGCTTGGATAAGTCATTTGGGACTTCAGTGTCCTATGGGTACTAGCTCATTAGGAACCCCTGTGGTGTTTTGGAAGAACCCAGTGATTACAAGGGCACTTGGCAATGTTCTCTTCCCCAAGGGTCTTTTCATTTTGTTGTTTTTAACCAGTTCCATGCCCTCTTGCCTCTTTTCTTTTTTTTTTTTTTTTTTTGGTGGGGGGAAGGGATGCTCATGCTTCCACATGAGAGCAGGGTAGGCACATGCCATAGCATGCACATGTAGAAGGTCAAAGATCAGCTTTCCAGAGCTGGTTCTTTCCTTCTACAATATGAGTTCCGAAGTTTGAACCCAGGGCTTCAGCCTTGGCAGCAAACATCTTTCTTTACCCATTGAACCATCTTCCTGGCCCTCCTTGGGGGTCTTAAATGGCACTTGGAGGGGGCAGCTGCTTTCGGCACCTTGCAGACAGTATTTGACAAGTGTAGCTCTGCTATGGTGACTATGACAGTACCCAGTGCACCCCTCCCCCAATTCTAGACCTGTTAGAATGCCAGGGTCATGAGGCAGTGATCTCTCAGCCCAGAGTGTGATCGACACCCCATTGAGCTACAAGCTTGCTCCACCCGGCAGCCCAGATGTGCAAGGTAAACTGCAGTGACAGGCAGGCTGTCTCCTGCCTGTGAACCCAGCACTGGGCAGCAGAAACAGGCAGGTCTGTGAGTTCCAGGCCAACCTGGTCTGCATAGTGAGTTCCAGGCCAACCTGGTCTGCATAGTGAGTTCCAGGCCAACCTGGTCTGCATAGTGAGTTCCAGGCCAACCTGGTCTGCATAGTGAGTTCCAGGCCAACCTGGTCTGCATAGTGAGTTCCAGGCCAACCTGGTCTGCATAGTGAGTTCCAGGCCAACCTGGTCTGCATAGTGAGTTCCAGGCCAGGGCTACAGAGTAAACTTAGGAGGCTCTGTCAAAAAACAAAGAAAGAAAGAAAAGTAAAAACAAACACCCGATACCACCTCCTTGTGATTCCAATGAAAGGAGACCTCAGGTGTGATGCAGACCCAGGTGTGTAGGGTCTGGAGACACCAACTTGGAATAGAACTACCCCAAGTTCTAAGTTTTTTGTTTTTTGTGTTTTTTTTTTTTTTTTTTGGTTTGGTTTTGGTTTTGGTTTTTTTTTTTTTTGTTGTTGTTGTTGTTGTTGTTTTTGGTTTTTCCAGACAGGGTTTCTCTGTGTAGTTATGGTGCCTGTCCTGGATCTTGCTCTGTAGACCAGGCTGGCCTCAAACTCACAGAGATACACCTGGCTCTGCCTCCTGAGTGCTGGGATTAAAGGCGTGCATCACCACCACCCAGTGATCTCTAAGTCTTAACTAAGCAGGGCCCCTGAGTTGGGGGACCCTGGTGAGGCAGGAGAGCAAGAAACACAGGATAGCTCACTGCTCACCTGGCATGGAATCCAGTCACAGTCACATGCACCTCCTACAGCTCCCTCAAAAATTCCTCAGTTGGAGGGGCTGGGAAGATGGCTTTGTTGGTAGAGTGCCCACCACACAAGCTTGTGGATCTGAGTTCAGATCCCCAGCACCTACATAGAAGACAAGGAGATTCTTGGAGCTCATTGGCCAGCCAGGCTAGCAGCACTGATGAGCTCCCAACTCAGTGAAAGATCCTGTCTCAAAAACTAAGGTGGAGAGCAACGGAAGAAAACACTTACTGAGTTCTGGCCTCTGCACACACGCCACTGACCCTCTGCATCCCTAGACTGCTGACACCTACCTTACCTCCCACTGCCCATGAAGCAGTGAGTCTTTGACACCACAATCTAGCAATTTCCAAGGACTTTTCAACACACTGGCTCTTCTCACAAGGATGGTTGGGCTTGTTTACTAATGTTTACAAATGCATTATTCAGAGTTTATCTAAGGTCATTTGACTAAACTTGAGTCTTGGAGGGCCAGAAGGAGGGGGCATGGTAATCAATAATTCCAGGCCCTTGTCATGCACCTGGCCTCATGCCAGGGCTTGGCATCTCATTCTCATGGTGGCTCTGCAGAGCAGTGACTTCTATCTCTTCCTACTAAGAAATGAGACCAAAGGGGAAGAATCGATGGTGGGACCTGGGGTAGCACCCACATGCCAGCAATGTCCCAGTGTATGAGCCCCAGGTTGTTCCACAGGAATCCACTGCATGGAGAAGGGCTCTTTACAAGTGTGATTAACACAGCAGAAGTATTTATTCAGTTTTCAATTATTCACTAGCATATTGAAGAAACCGCATACTTGATCCAACATAACAATTTATTTGTTTGTAATTGATAAGTTAAAATAAATGGATTCCTATAACTAAATATGTCCAATTTGTAGGAATGCTGTTTGCATCTCTATAGTAGTATTTTGATACACAAATTCATATATTAATATTTCATATGGTGATGGTTGAAAATAAAAATGCTAAAATCAGACAAAACAAGTATGCTGCCCCATCCTGTGGCCTCCTGCAAAGGTCTTAGGCCAAGCACGAGCTCATCCTCACTGGCTACAGGACATAGTCTCAGCTTTACTGTGGCCCAGAGACAACCCCCTGCCCCCCACAACCTAAGTTATCTACAGCACTCTTCTCTGGCTAGTAGCCCAGTAGATCATGACAAACCACATAGAACATTCTTCTGGCTGAGATCAGACCCTCCAGGGCCTTACTGATGTCCCCAGAATGCTCTTGCCTGAGTCTTCAAGTAGGTGGAGGACATTCCACCTCCAGGCTCTGCTGCTTCTCTCTGTCATACCACATCCTGGAAAGAAAACTTTATAACAAGGACACCTGTGGCCCAACAGTGACTAAGGGACACCTGTGATCCAGCAGTGACTCCATGAAGGAGTTCCCCTAAATGCCAGGACCTTCCCTTCTGCAGCTGGATGAGGTTTCCCATCTGTGCACTGCAGAATGGCGGAGATGAGGCTCAGGGCAGTGGAGCAAATTGCTTCAGATCCCTGGAGGAAAGAGGGATTTGTTGAACACAAGGTCTAGCTGTCACTTCATCCAGAGACATCAGTGACACACAGAGAGCCCTGGTCTTTGTATGGAGGGACACCGAAATCAGGATGGACAGCTGCCAGCTCCCACTGCATGCCTTCAGTACTACTAGGCGGTCACCTGGCATGGTAAGGAAGGTGCCTTGGGTTATGTTCAGCCAGGTCCTCCTGCTCCTTCCTTCCCAGAGGTGGAAGAAAAGAGCCCCCAAAGACTCTGGGATGCGTGGGCTGGTTCATCATAAGCTCTACACCACATCTGAGTAGTAATGACTGGAGGGGCTGAGAGGTCAAGCTCTGGCTGGGCATAAGGATGAAGGAAAGGCAAGGCTCACCCATGCCCGTGGCCAGTGAGTGGGTAGGCCCAGCCTGCTGGACACTGTATATAGACACTAGACCTACCCACTCCTATCCTCCCTGATCAGGTCTGCTTCCCCTGCCAGCACACCAGCCCTGGTCTCTTTGGTAGGCCAACTGAGTTGATCTGGACCTGTGAGAGGCCACTTCGTTATACTATACATTCTAAAGACCCTTTGTCCCCTGCTGCCCTAGGACTGATCCAGGAACTTACGTGGGTTGCAATATGGGGCCCTGATACAGAGTTCATGGCTTGCCAGTCTATCTCAGGCACAGCCCATGGCCCAAGGGAGAGATGGAGCAGGTTTCAGATCCTTCAGAAACAAGCCTGTGGGAGAGCCAGGAAGACAAATGATAAGAAAATAATACAGACAGCTGAGAGGACCAGGCAGACGCCATGACAGGCTGCTCAGTCTTCTCTCAGAGATCAGGCCTCAATTTCAGTTTCCTGAGACTTGAGCAAGCAGTTTCTGGGAGGGCCATGAACAAAAGACAGTCTTTGCACTAGCTCTCTTTCTGCGTGTACTCTGACTGCTCAAAGTACAGCCAGTTGTTTACTGTCTGGGACCCCTCACCAACTTAGAGCTATGTGCGTGAGTCAAGGACAGAGCCTGGGCCACTGAGCCAGCCCCCACAGTCAGTACATGCTAGGCCAGCCAGCCCCCATGGCAGCTCAAGGACAAAGCCTGGGACTTGTCCTGAACAGCCCCCAAAATGATAATTGTAACCCCCAAGCAGTAAATTTAAAGGTTACAAACCCTCACCCAATTAAAAGAGAACAGAGACCTTCAAAAATAAAAATAAACCAATCCAAGTTGCACCCGTGCCAAACCCCCAACCCCACCCCCACCCGCCCTGAAGGGCTTGTGGTTTTTGCCTTTAAAAAGCTAGCCTCAGCTGGGCGGTGGTGGCACTCGGGTGGCAGAGGCAGGTGGATCTCTGTGAGTTTGAGGCCAGCCTGGACTACAGAGTGAGTTCCAGGATGGCCAGGGCTACACAGAGAAACCCTGTCTCGAAAAAACAAAAAAAAAAAAACAAAAAAAAGCCAGCCTCACAAAGAGCGAGCAGCTCCTCCCGGCCTGGCTGCGCTGCGGCCAGTGAGTGCTTGGGATGAGTTCCCTGTCGCGACTTGTAACGGAAATAAACCTTGCTATTGCACTCTGGACATCTTCAGTCTCCAGTGGTCTCTTTGGGGTCGCAATCTGGGCATGACACAGCCTGTCATACAGGGTCCCACCAGGGTCTAGGGACAGAACCAGGAGGACAGCGCCAGGTATCCAATATGGAGTCAGGGAAGCGGCTCTATTGCTTCATGGAGGTCTCCATTGCTTGGCTCTGGCTACAGTCTGGCAGAGTTAGGGCTGAAGTGTGGGCAGCTGTAGCTTAACCAAGCACCTGCCTAAGCATGTTGGGACTGTGTGACAGTATGCAGGTGAGGCTGAGCACGCCTGTGAGGCCAGAGAGAAAGACAGGGAATTCTAGACATGTGAAGGCAAGGACTCCCTCACACCAGAGTCTGGCTGAAGTCTTTCAGCTGAGAATCAAGGATTCCAACACAACTAACATCTTGTTAGGGCCTTTCTCCCTTCCCAGCTGTAAACTTACAATTTTCTAGGTATCTCAGCAGAAATCCCATTTATTTTATAGTGACGTTCCCTTAAGAAGACCATACCCCTTTCTGAGAGACAGCTCAGAGGTTAAGAGAACTTACTTCTCTTCCAGAGGCCAGGGCTTGGCTCCTAGCACCCACATGACAACTCATAACTACCTGTAACTCCATTTCTAGAGAATACAGCACCCTCTTCTGGCCTCTTATGGCACTGCACATATGTGGTACACAGACGTACATGCAGGCAAACACTCAAATACATAAAGTAAAAATGGCTGGGTATGGTGGTGCATGCTTTTAGTCCCGACATTGTGGAGGCAGAGGAAGGAGGATGCAGTTGGAAGCCAGCCTGGTCTACACAGTAGAGTCTCAGGAGAGACAAAGAGACCCTGTCTCAAAAATCAAACACGTAAAATAACGACAACAATTTGTGTGTGTATGTGATTTATTTATTTATTTTTGATTTTTTTTTTTTTTTGAGACAGGGTATCTCTGTGTAGACCTAACAATCCTGGATCTCGCTCTGTAGACCAGGCTGGCCTCGAACTCACAGAGATCCGCCTGCCTCTGCCTCCCGAGTGCTGGGATTAAAGGCGTGCGCCACCACCGCCCGGCTTGTTTTGATTTTTAAAAGAAGTCCACACTTGCCTCTCTGCTGTGGCGGTTATCTTCCAGTAACTCACCAAAACGACAAACAGGGTAGAAAGAGGAGAGGCGCCTACTGTATGTCCTCTAGGCCTTTTAGGAAACATGGAGTTGTTCTTTGGCCACATGCACGATGGTGATATTGCAGACATCACGGGAATGGCACTGTTCAGGGAGTTCCCCATAAGGAAGAGTCAATGTCACTCAGCATGCTGTGGGCCTCACTGTAAACAAGCAAGCTAAGGGCAAGAGTCTTGCCAAGAGGATTAATTCGGGGGTGTGGGGGAGGTGTGGGTGTGTGTGTAGGGGGGTGCCAGGGCAGCTTCCTGAAACTGCTGAAGGAAAACAACCAGGAAAGAAAAGGAAGGCAAAGGAAAGTCATGTGGGTTCAATTGCAGCTCCAGCCTGTCCCACCCAGAGTCGCACACTTAGTGAGGACCGCCGAAAGTAGCCTGAGCTGCTGGAGCCCATTCCCTATGAATGCGTGCCTTAACCTACAAAAGAAATAAAGCAAAGGACCTAGACTTTTTTTGTTTGTTTGTTTGTTTTGGGTTTTGGTTTTGGTTTTTCGAGACAGGGTTTCTCTGTGTAGCTTTGCGCCTTTCCTGGAACTCACTTGGTAGCCCAGGCTGGCCTCGAACTCACAGAGATCCGCCTGGCTCTGCCTCCTGAGTGCTGGGATTAAAGGCGTGCGCCACCACCGCCTGGCTTAGACTGTTGTTTTGAAAAAAAAAAAAAAAGACCGTGCTCTAGCTGGAGAGATGGCGCAGTGGCTAAGGGCACTTGTTCTTGCAGAGGACCAAGTTCAATTGGAGGATGGAAGCAGACAAAAGTGAAGGAAGGGACCATGAACTGTGAAGTGGGGATGCTGTGGTGTGATACTCGGAGTCAGACTCTCAAAGTTTGCATCACCACTAGCTATTTGGTTGTGTTCTTGCCTCTTGTGGATCATTTCTATGCTGGCTGTGCTGGTCACCTAGTCCCCCGAACTAGGGTGCTTTTCATGCCACCCCTATACTGCCAGCCTGGACCTGACATTGTGATGCCTAGTGCTCACAAAGCACTCATTTACTCCCTGGGTCCTGTCCCCAGGGATTGATATGTACCTGTGCATCAGAGTACACCTTCGGCAAGTTGCAAGAGGCTCAGGCTTTTGAGTGTGGGAGCTATGCACCCACCTCTGGATTGTCTCTCGGGGAATGCTCCTGTGTTGGATTTCTGTAGGTGTTGATTTCTCTGTTTGTTTGGTTTTTGTTGTTGTTGTGTTGTGTTTGTTTGTTTTTGTTTTGCTTTTGGTTTGGTTTTTCAAGACAGAGTTTCTCTATATAGCCTTGGCTGTTCTAGAGCTTGCTTTGTAGACCAGGCTGACCTTAAACTCACAGAGATCCTCCTGCCTCTGCCTCCCGAGTGCTGGGATTAAAGGCGTGCGCCACCACGCCTGGCTTGTGTTGACGTTTTCATGGCATGTCCATGGTGTCTTGGAGCTTCTGAGCCCATTTCGAAACTCTCTCTTTTCTCTCTTTCCGTGTGTGTGTGTGTGTGTGTGTGTGTGTGTGTGTGTGTGTGTGTGTGTCTGTCTGTCTGTCTGTCTCTCTGTGTATCTGTCTGTCTGACACTTGTACTGAGGAGTTCCTTTGGGGAAAGGAATGAAGAAGGATTTCAGTGGCCAAGGAGGTGCACAGAGAACATTGCATTTGGGGGTGAAATGGCTCAGCAGATAAAGATGCTTCCAGTCAAACTTAACAAACTGAGTTTGATCCCTGGGACCCATATGGTGGAAGAAGAGAATTAATTCCCACAACTTGTCCGCTGACCTCTACATATGCTGTGTCATGTGCATGCCCACCCTCACACTCAACTAGATAAAGTAATTTAAAAAATAGTGCATCTGTGCCTTGGAATGGTATCTTTCCTGGGGACTCAACCCTCTGGGTTCAATAGATTTGATTTTATTCCTCTAGTGCTGTGTGTCCAGTTCCTTTCAGATGTCTCTCCTAGGGCAAGGGCATTGTGCCTCTAAGGAGGATGGAAGAGAGACTGTCCTAGCCTTGTGGCTTCCAGTGATTCTGAAGGACAGGCAGCCACCTCCAGCCATCAGCAGGCACAGGAGTGTTTGTGGACAACAGCATCCTAGAGCTCACTGGGTTCCTCACTGAACCAGGTGTACCCCTGTGTGCTGAGATCATCAAGGCACTGGTTCCCCTTCAGAGTGCTCACAGATATCCAATGCCGGACTAGTCTTACGGCATCATCATCCCTCTGTGACTGTGTTTCTTTAGTTTCACCACATATGTAGGGATCACTACATGTAGGGAGTCTGTGTCTGTGCTTAGGAGAGCTAGAGGGTGTTCTCTGTCTGAGATTTTAGCATATTTGAGGGTCCATATTGTAGGGCTGAACCCTGTATGTTGGGTTCAGCTGGGGCAAGGACAGAAGAGATTGCCAGGGGTGGCATGGGACCCCGTCAGCTGCGGAGTTCTGAGAGTCACTGGGAGCAGAGTGAGGGTCAGGGTGAGGAGGCACACAGGAGAAACCAATGCAAGAAGCAGCGCTGGGAGCTGGGTGGTGGTGGCTCACACATTTAATCCCAGCACTCGGGAGGCAGAGGCTTGTGGATCTCTGAGTTCAAGACCAGCTTGGTCTACAGAGCAAATTCTAGGACAGCCAGGGTTACATAGAGAAACCCAGTCTTAAAAAAGAAGAGGAAGAGGGGGAGGAGTGGAGAGAAAGGGGGTAAGGAGGGGAGAGGGGAGGAGGAGGGGGAGGAGGGGGAGGAGGAGGAAGAAGGAGGGAGAAAAAAAGAAGAGGCCCTCCGGGTGGTGGTGGCACACACCTTTAATCCCAGCACTTGGGAGGCACAGTCAGGCAGATCTCTGTGAGTTCAAGACCAGCCTGGTCTATTAGGACAGACACCAAAGGTACACAGAGAAACCCTGTCTTGAAAAAAAAAAAGAAGAGGCCCATGGCCCTTGTTCCCATGGTGTCCTGCCATGTCCCCCAGGAGTGGGTTCCACTTGCCCAAAGTCTTCTTTCATTGTTGTGCTCTCATGGCCAGAGTCAGGACTTGTTGCCAGCTACCAGCAACAAGGCAGGTCAGGTCAGGGTACTTGGGAACCCAGCCTGGCCGTCCATGCCTCTCCCTTTCACTTTTCCCACTGCTGGTCAAGTGTAGTAAGGGAGTTCTTGCGGGGAGTTCCAGAGGGATCGGAGGCTTGGCCCCTGCAGGAAGCCAAGGCACCCATATTCACCTTCCTGAAGCAGGGTAGACATGATGAGAGGCACCCTCTGTGCCTCCTGGCTCCCTACCTCCTGGCAAGAAGAGATGCGGTATTTGATTCAAGGCTGGATTCAGTCTTTCTTTAAAATTTAGGCAAGTTTTGGTAATAGATTTTGACATTCATGATTTTTAAAAGGTATTTTATGAAAAAATTATTTTTCTTTTGTGACAGGGTCACTCTATATAGCCCTGGATGTCCAGAACTCACTGTGTAGTCCAGGCTGGTCTTGAACTCACAGAACTCCACCTGCCTCTGCCTCCCAAGTACTGGGATTAAGATGTGAGTCAACATGCTTGGCTCAAAAACAAATTTTTTTTTCACTTTGAAGCTTGGTTTTACTTTATACAGATTACTTTATACATGATGCCATGTTTTCTTCCCCTTAAAATAAAAAAGGTACTTTATTGTTGATATTACAGAAAACATTTGAGAGATCTTAATCTTTTTAAGAACAGTTTTTTTAAATATAAAAGTTTATAAGGCTATGGGACATTTTCAGCTTATAAAATGCTCTATATTGTTAATATTTAGACTTAAAATAAAAGGCTAAAAATTAGGGTAACAGCCATAAGCCCCAAATGCTAACCAGAAACTGGGATGTTCATTCCTTGTGATGCAGCAAGACAATGACCTAAGCAGTCTGACAAAGGGCTTAAAACAGCTTCTGATTCCATGAGTCTTCACCTTTTGGGAGTTAAAAAACAAACAAACAAACAACTTTTTACAAGGGTGGCCTAGGACTACCTATATGTCAGATGTTTGCATTGAGATTCAACAATGGCAAAACTGCAGTTATAAAATAGCATTGAGATAGTTGAGAACCATGACTTAGAGAATGTTGCTCCATACCCAAGGCACATTCAGGCTTAAGAATGTTGTCTAGCCTCTTTGTATTTGCTAAATTTGTTAAGTTTAAGCTATTTAGATAAATTGATTCATATACACACACACACACACACACACACACACACACACACACACACACACACACACACATATATATATTAGTGAGTTTATCTCTCTTTTTTTTAATAAAACCAAAATTTATTATAAGCCACAGTTATCCTAGGGTCCCCCCTGCTATATAGCCTCCCTGGTTCTGTGGGTTGCAGTCTGATTGTTCTTTGCTTTATAGCTAGTATCCACTTATCAGTGAGTACATACCATGTTTGTCTTTCTGGGTTTGTGCTACCTCACTCAGGATGATACTTTCTAGTTCCAACCATTTGCCTGCAAATTTCATGATGTCATTGTTTTTCTCTGCTGAGTAGTACTCCATTGTGTATATGTACCACATTTTCTTAATCCATTCTTCAGTTGACAGGCATCTAGGTTGTTTCAAGGTTCTGACTATTACAAATAGTGCTGCTGCCGGGCGGTGGTGGCGCACGCCTTTAATCCCAGCACTCGGGAGGCAGAGGCAGGTGGATCTCTGTGACTTCGAGGCCAGCCTGGACTACCAAGTGAGTTCCAGGAAAGGCGCAAAGCTACACAGAGAAACCCTGTCTCGAAAAACCCAAAAAATAAAAAATAAAAAATAAAAAAAAATAGTGCTGCTATGAACATAGCTGAGCATGTATCTTTGTGGTATGATTCAGCATTCCTTGGGTATGTGCCCAAAAGTGGTATGGCTGGGTCTTGAGGTAGATTGATTCCCAATTTTCTGAGAAACCTCCATACTGATTTCCACAGTGGTTGTACAAGTTTGCATTCCCACCAACAGTGGAGGAGTGTTCCCTTTGCTCTGCATCCTCTCCAACATAGACTGTCATTAGTGTTTTTGATCATAGCCATTCTGACAGGTGTAAGGTGATATCTGAGTCATTTAGATTTGTATTTCTCTGATGATTAAGGATGTTAAGCATTTCTTTAAATGTCTTTCAGCCATTTATGATTCTTCTTTTGAGAATTCTGTTTAGCTCTTTAGCCCATTTTTAATTGGATTGTTCAGTATTTTGATGTCTAGTTTCTTGAGTTCTTTATATACTTTGGAGATCAGTCCTCTGTCAGGTGTGGGGTTGGTGAAGGTCTTTTCCCATTCTATTGGCTGTCTTTTTGTCTTATTGACCATGTCTTTTGCCCTACAAAAGCTTCTCAGTTTCAAGAGGTCCCATTTATTAATTGTTGTGCTCAGTGTCTGTGCTGCTGGTGTTATATTTAGGAAGTGATCTCCTGTGCCAATGCGTTCAAGAGTACTTTCTTTTCTGTCAAGTTCAGTGTAGCTGGATTTATGTTGAGGTCTTTGATCCACTTGGACTTGATTTTTGTGCTTGGTGACAGATATGGATCTATTTGTAATCTTTTACGTATTGACATCCAGTTATGCCAGCACCATTTGTTGAAGATACTTTCTTTTTTCCATTGTATAGTTTTGGCTTCTTTGTCAAAAATCAGGTGTTCATATGTGTGTGGACTAATGTCAGGGTCTTCAATTCAATTCCATTGGTCTGTATGTTGGTTTTTATACCAGTACCAAGCTGTTTTTATTACTATAGCTCTATAGTAGAGCTTGAGGTCAGGGATGGTGATGCCTCCAGAGGTTGCTTTATTATACAGGATTCTTTTAGCTTTCCTGGGTTTTTTTGTTTTTCCATATGAAGTTGAGTATTGTTCTTTCCAAGTCTGTGAAAAATTGTGTTGGGATTTTGATGGGGATTGCATTGAATCTGTAGATTGTTTTTGGTAAGATTGCTATTTTTACTAAGTTAATCCTACCTATCCGTGAGCATGGGAGATCCTTCCATTTTCTGATATCTTCTTCAATTTCTTTCTTCAGAGATTTAAAGTTCTTATCAAACAGGTCCTTCACTTGTTTAGTTAATGTTATCCCAAGGTATTTTATATTATTTGTGGCTATTGTAAAGGGTGATGTTTCTCTGGTTCCTTTCTCAGCCCTTTTATCATTTGTGTATAAGAGGGCTACTGATTTTTTTGAGTTGATCTTGTATCCTGCCACTTTACTGAAGGGGTTTACCAGTTGTAGGAGTTCCCTGGTAGAATTTTTGGGGTCACTTATGTATACTATCATATCATCTGCAAATAGTGAAAGTTCAAAAACAAGTTTTTATTACTGTTTTTGGTACCCCTGCATCTGGCATCTCTACAAGACCATTGCTGATAGCCCAGCTGCACCCTGCTTTGTGTATTAGAGGTGTGGGTCCAATGGGAAGTAGAAGTGTAGCCACTGGCCATGGCTTGCTGAGGGTACCTGGTACCCATGCCAGGGTGGGTTATATACTTTGCCTAGACCCAGCCATGGATGAACTCCTATCCATATCCATGTCAGAAGAGTTTCTCACTCATCACCTGATTGTTAGAGCTTCAGATCATGTTTTTGTTTCATGGTCTGTTTGTCTTGTCTTAATGTTTTTTGAGACTGTCTTACTACGGAGCCCAAGCTAGTCTCAAACTCTCAATCCTCCTGTTTGCCCCTCCCAAATGTTCAGATTATAGGCACGCACAACCACACCTGGAACTCCTCAGGATGTCAGTTTTGTTTGCTTTTATCTTATAGCTCTAAAATATCACTAATACACAGGACAGGGCGCACAACACACATTCATTGTGTGTGTGAGATGACAGACATTGAACCTAGGATTTAACATACACTAGGAAAGTAATTGCTCTACCATTTAGCTACATTTGAAGACCTATTCAATTCAAATAAGACAATTTTACCACCTCAGGGATGAGAAAATGAAAATGTCACTCCTATTTGCAAGCCCTCCATTATCACTGAACTTTCTTCTCCAAAGATGATAACTACTATTGATTTGGTGATTCCTCCCTCTTACCTATTTTTTTTTTTCTTCTTAAACCCTTTGACCCAGGGTTTAAATCCGGGGCTTTGTGTATACTAAGCAAGCATTATAGCAGTGCCACACCCTTAAGGCCCTATCACTAATTTTTTGCAATAAGCTGTTCCTTGGTTTTCTTTCTAATCTTTTTTTTTTTTTTTTTTTTTTTTTTGGTTTTTCGAGACAGGGTTTCTCTGTGTAGCTTTGCGCCTTTTTCCTGGAACTCACTCTGTAGCCCAGGCTGGCCTCGAACTCACAGAGATCCACCTGGCTCTGCCTCCTGAGTGCTGGGATTAAAGGCGTGCGCCACCACCGCCCGGCTTTCTTTCTAATCTTACTATCTACACAGGGGTCCTTAAGCAAGAATTTACTTCTGAACATGAATGGAAGCGGGTCATGGTGTAGGACTGCAATCCTAGCATTCAGGAGGTTAAGGCAGGAGAATTGCTGTGAGCTTGAGGCCATCTCGGGCTACACAGTGAGTACCAGGCTAGCCAGGACTACACAGCAAAACACAAACACAGAAATCCCAAGAACAGAACTACATAGTTTCTCTGGTATTTTGTTGTTGTTTGTTTTTTCAAGATAGGGTTTCTCTGTGGGGTCCTGGAACTTGCTCTGTAGACCAGGCTGGTCTTGAACTCAGATCCTCCTGCCTCTGCCTCGAGTGCTGGAATTAAAGGCATGCAGCACCAAAGCCCGGCAAACCACATGGTTTTGTATCCATGGTCTCATGCTGAGATTATTCTGAACTACTGCTCTGATTCCCTTATCCTGCTGTGCAGAACTGACACTCACACTGGGAACCACCAGCCCGTACACTGCAGGGTCTCACAGACTAGGCAGCTGTGAACATTTCTTTTTTCTTTTTTTTTTACTTTAAACAGTAAAATATTTTCTCTGTAGAAAATAGTATAAAACTATAACATTTCCCAATAAGCTCCTTTCAGCCAAATAATAGCTGAATTATACAAATAAATATTGATTAGATTCTGGGATACATAAGAGACCTATTTTCATCTGTTCAGAGAGCTATGTTTTACTTAAGTTGTGTGAGATTCCTATTCATCTTCCCTTTCACTGTTTGATTTACGGCAGACATTTTTCTATAGGCTAATCCATAATCTAAAAAGATTTTAGCCTCCCCTCCTGAAAGTATGGCCAGCATTTTCTTTCATCAGCTTGATACGGTACAAATTCTTATCCTAATAGTGAAATGTTTCCCTAAAGCTTGCCCAGTGAATGAGTAAAACCAAAACTTATTATAAGCCACAGTCATCCTAGGGTTCTCCTTGCTAGGTAGCTTCCTTGGATCTGTGGGTTGTGGTCTGGTTGTCCTTTGCTTTATATCTAGTATCCACTTATGAGTGAGTATATACCATGTTTGTCCTTCTGGGTCTGGGTTACCTCACTCAGGATGATATTTTCTAGTTCCATCCATTTGCCTGCAAATTTCATGCTGTCATTGTTTTTCTCTGCTGAGTAGTACTCCATTGTGTATATGTACCACATTTCCTTAATCCATTCTTCAGTTGACGGGCATCTAGGTTGTTTCCAGGTTCTGGCTATTACGAATAGTGCTGCTATGAACATAGTTGAGCATGTATCTTTGTGGTATGATTGAGCATTCCTTGGGTATATGCCCAAGAGTGGTATGGCTGGGTCTTGAGGAAGACTGATTCCCAATTTTCTGAGAAACCTCCATAGTGATTTCCACAGTGGTTGTACAAGTTTGCACTCCCACCAACAGTGGAGGAGTGTGAACATTTCTCAATGTCCTGCTTCAGGTACTCAGGAGTTTCTTACAGGCACAGTCCTAAGAATGGAACTGATGGCTCACTGGGTGTGTCAGGCTTGCAAAATAACACTCAGGTGTTTTCCAGAGTGCTCACAGCAATTTACTCCCACCACCCGGGACCAGGGCCTGTAGCTCCATTTGCTCAACATCTGGTATTGTCTGATTTAAGAATTTTGCCAATCAGCTAGGCGTTAATGGCACTTGTTTTTCTGATTTCTTTTTTTTTTTTTTTTTTTTTTTGGTTTTTCGAGACAGGGTTTCTCTGTGTAGCTTTGCGCCTTTCCTGGAACTCACTTGGTAGCCCAGGCTGGCCTCGAACTCACAGAGATCCGCCTGGCTCTGCCTCCCGAGTGCTGGGATTAAAGGCGAGCGCCACCACCGCCCGGCGTTTTTCTGATTTTAATGAAAGTGGAGCCTTTCCATGTGCTATTTTGAAATCATCTCTTGTGGCTGCCTTTCAGATTTTCTACCAAGTTCCCCATTATGTATCCTCTAATCCAGGGCCTCATGAATGCTAGGCATTCTACCATTAAACTACATCCCCAGCCTGCGTCCCCCTTGCGTGTGCACGCATGTATGGTGGTGGGGGTGATTCTTTTGCCTATGCGTGTGAAGGCCAGCATCTTCTCTATCACTCTCCACTTCACCTGCTGAGAGGGTCTCTCACTGGACCTGAAACTTTCAGTCAGGCTGGCTGGCCAGTGAACTTCTGGGATCCGCTGCTCTACAACAATGGGGTGAGGGTGTTATGGGTACCTGCAACCATGCCTGTTTTTATGTGAGTGCTATGGACTTGAACTTGGGTCCTCTTGCTTTCACGGCAAGTGTTTACTCCCTGGCCATCTCTACAGACCACTTTCTTTTGGAGATAGAATCTTATGAACCCTAGACTGGCCTAGAACTTGCTTCATAGGCAAGGATGACCTTGAACTTCAGATCCTCTTATCTTCCAGTCATGAAAATAGAGGTGTGTACCACAACACTACCAACTGAGCCACATCCCAGACTTTTTCTGGAGAGCAGCTCTGGTATGTATTCTGGGTGAGGATTTTATTGATAAAAATACTCTCACCCACTCCGTGCTCATCTCCTTACTCAGGTTTTAGATTAAGTTTCTAGTACTATGGAGACCATCTTATTAACATTCTCTCCATTGTGAGATCATGAAAGTTTTCTCATGCCCAGTCTTGTACTGTCATCCTTGCTTTCCTGGATAATAAACATGCAGAAAAGCATTTCATTTGCATGATAAGCAAGTCACCACTCAGTGATGCTCTTCTTTGGAGAAACAAACACCAAGCAGGAGTGAGTGTTAAACAGCATTTTACCTGGTCCTCAAAACCCTCACCCATGAGGGAACTAAGGCTCAGAGAGCGTGGGTTACATGACATAGAAACAGTCTCCCCAGTTACAGTCTAGTTCATGTGGCTATTTCCTTTCAGCAAGTTCATGGGCAAATTAGCTTTTCTGAGCCCCAAATCTCTACACCTCTCCAAAACAAAAAAATTAAAAATGCTTTCAAAGATGTTAGTTTCAGGCTGGTTCACAGTATGAGTCTGAAAACAACAGGACTGGAATTTAGTTTTCAAGTATAACTCTTTCGTTTCTCTGATAGCTGGGCAAACAGCAAAAATCCCACCCATTCTTCCCAGAGGCTAAGAGAATACACACATGACTGGCAGGTGAACTCTTACCCACATCCTATCCACCCTCTTCCTGGTACCTTTGACTCCTACTGACTTTTCCACCAGGTGCTGCCTAGACCAACTGTTGACATCTGGAAGCCTACGGCCTACCTGGCTCCCAGGAAGAAATCAACCCACAGTCTCTCCCACATTATTCCGGAATTGGGACACCTAGGGCACCTGCCCAAGGCCCACATGGCTAGGGTGGCTCCCTTTTGGGAGGGAAAGGGAAGCCACCAGTTTCGGTGTGCACTGATAAGGAGTGAGGTGGATGTGTTCAGCCCCTGGTGAAGACACAACTCCCAGCCTATCTGCTTTCCAACACAGAACACCAATCATGAAGGCCACTGACTTTATTAATCTAAAACTCTTTATAACAACAGTTACTATTTTTGCCAAAAACAAAAAGGAGCCAACCGGCATCCAATAGATTGTGAATGGAAGGAGAAAGGGTCCAGGAATCCATTCAGGAAAGCTGGTAACTGTTGCCATGGAATTTCAGGGGAGGAGGGGCAAGGCATGCAAGGGGAAAATTCCAAAAAGATTGAAAATGCTGAGGGGAGAGAACTCCCCAAAGACCCTGGAGCACATAGGAGGTGAGTGAGACAACAGCAATCTTCTCCTTCATGGAGGACGGGGAGAAGCCCCATCCGGCTTTGGACTCTGGAGACTCGGTTCTGTGGCTGGGGGGCTGAGGAGTCCCTAGAGTACATTACAAGAAGGCGTCACACCATTCTCGAAGGCAGCCAAAGCAGTCTCGGGACTGCTTGGCGTTGGCACCACACGTGTCTTTCAGCCACTCTCGGAAGAGGTCTTCATCTTTCTTTAGCACCAGAAACTGGCCGAGAACCACATAAGCCTGCAGACAGGAAAGGGCGCAGGCTAAGTGCCTCTCGGACTAAAACCACAAGACTATGTTATACCACGCCGAAGGGGCCGGATCTCTGAAGCCAGGCAGGGTCAGTTGTGAGTACTTGAAAGGCAAGCCCATTTTTGTTCTGGTTGTTTTGTTTAAGAAAGGATCTTGCTTTGCTGCCTAGACTGGCATTAAACTCGATGGGAATCCTCTTGCCTCAACCTCCCAAGTGCTGGGGTCATAGGGACCCACTACGCCTAGTTTCACTTCTGTGACATTGAAAACACACAAAGGGGTAGGGCACAGTGGGGCACACCTTTAATCCCAGCACATGTGAGGCAGAGAGGCCCTGTCTCAAAAAAACAAAAACACACAAAAATGACCTTGCCTCCCTCGCTGCCGCCAAACCACTTCAAGTGATCTACCCCTGTCCATACCCTCCCCATACCCCTACTTTTCCTCACTTCCACTTTTTTTTTGCTTGGAAACATCTGATGCCAGCTTTCACTGCACCCCTCCCTGGCATTTGTGACCACCCCACACCTTGTCAAAGCCCCTTTCCTCCAGCTTCTTGCCCAGGACTTCACCAATCCCGGCCAGGCTCCCCACTGGCTTTTCCCCCATGGGCTCTGCCACGAAGTCTCGGTGCTTTTGGGAGGTTGTCATCTTGATCAGGTTTAACCTGGGAATCCCAAAAAAAGGCAGGTTAGGGCTGAAGAGCACAACTCCCCGGGGCAATCTCCTCGGCCAGCTATTGTGGCTGCTTCCTCGATTTCCCTCATTGCA